AGTAGGAAATTGAGAATACCCCTAAACATTTAAAAAAAAAAAAAATGGAATCCTGAACAGGAGCTTTTCACACTGCAACACTTTGTTGCAGATCCCATGGACTCATTCTGATTCATAATGCTTGCCACACTCCAGGAGAGCTCATAAACCTTTTTTTTTTTTTTAGTGCAAAGCCCATGTCAACAGTCAACGTTGTTTAATGGGAGCACAGGATTAGCCTGCAGCACTCTCTAGGGGAGTCTGCTTTTCCTGTCTGACTAGTAGGGTTGCCATCATGTGATAAGTGATAGCTCAGTCTTTAGCTTTTTCTTGGGTAATTATTTTATGTAGTGCAATGACATGAAAGCTGATGCAGGCAGATCTACACAGTAGTTATGAACAATGTCCCGTGCAGGTTCCTTTTTTTATGTTGCAACCAGACGAGCTAATTCTATGTCTAGCAACTTGCAACTTGGGATGAGCGAATCTGTCAGTTGTGGTTTCTCTCAATTTCTCGTTTTTCCAGCCTTAAGTTTGGTTTTCCACATATCCACATTAGCTTGCATTTTTTTTTACAAGTCTTCATGAAAATACATCAATATCTTAGTCACATTTCTCTTAATATGCACATTTATGTGCAATTATGCCTAATATATAATTTTTTTTTGCAAATCGATTTCCCTTTTTATAATGCTATTTTCATTATTATATGCAATTTTATGCATGCTTTACTGCAGTGTAAACATTTTTGTGTTCATTGCTTGGCTAGAGAAGTATATCCCAAAATCTGGATGTGCATATTTTGAAGGATGGCTGTATTTAGTAGGCTCACATATTGTTTCAGAAAGTGCCAAATAACTCCAGGTTACACACCCTCCAACATTTCTCCAATAAAAATAGGGAGATCCTAAGGAAAAGCGGGACATTCTGGGATGAAATTAGAAACTGTGGCGCCTTCTCTAAATCAGGGATGTGCCTGGAAAATAGGGACACTTGGAGGTTCTACGGGGCCTGACTACTTTTCTTAGCTCAGGTGCAGTTTTAACAGCAGCTAACTGGCACTGTGGGTTAAATCACAGAGCCTAGGACTTGCCGATCAGAAGGTTGGCGGTTTGAATCCCCGCAACGGGGTGAGCTCCCATTCCTCGGTCCCTACTCCTGCCAACCTAGCAGTTCGAAAGCATGTCAAAGTGCAAGTAGATAAATAGGTACCGCTCCGGCGGGAAGGTAAACAGCGTTTCCGTGCGCTGCTCTGGTTTGCCAGAAGCGGCTTAGTCCTGCTGGCCACATGACCCAGAAGCTGTACGTCGGCTCCCTCAGCCAATAAACCGAGATGAGCGCCGCAACCTCAGAGTCATCCGTGATTGGACCTAACAGTCAGGGGTCCCTTTACCTTTACCTTAGAATGACAAAGAATATATTTTTCTTTTTTCTTTCTTATGATTTAGAAACATTTGTATACCAACAAGAAATTGAAACTTCATATTGTGATCTTATGTTATGCAAGCATTTCTGTTTTAAAAAAGCAATAAAGATGAATTGCACGAGATGACCACTGCAGGCAGCAGGATCTCCCGGGGCAGCAGATCCCCATGTCAATCTTTCTCTCCCCTGCTTGTTCCTGACGTAGATCTTCTCACACCCCTTCTTCCCTGGTGGAGAGGTGGGCACAATATTGGGGTCTGCCTCAGGTGCCCACATGTCTTGAGCTGGTCCCTTATGGGCCTCCATTCTTATTTTACTGGTTACTGGGAACAGAAAGTGGGGAGACCACTGCTGTGCTCAGGTCCTGCCTATGGTCTTCCAATGGGCATCTGCTTGGCCACTGCGAGAACAGTATGCTAGACTAGATAGACCATTGAACTAACCCATCAGGTTTCTTCTTGTGCTTTTCTGTCCCTGTGCTCTCATAAACTTCACCAGTTCAAATTATTTATCATTTTATTTATTTGTTCCATTTATATGCTACCTTATCTTCCAAGGAGCTCAAGGTGCTGTATACATCCCCATGTCATCCTCACAACAAACCTGTGAGGTAGGTTAGGCTATGAGATGGTGAGGCCCAAGGTCACCCAGTGACTCTAAACATTATGGCACACTGGCTCTCACAATTTCCTTGTGCCGTGCTGCTGTAGGCGGGTTCCTTAGTGTCCTCAGTTTCCTTGCTGAAGCCAACGATGTGCATGCAAGTTCCTTGGGGCACCTTAAAGACTGAAAATGATATCAAAGTGCACCAACCAATTTCCCCTTAAGCAGCAGATCCATTTGTTCTGTTGTAAACAAAATCTGCCCTTATTCCCTTATAGGGGACACAAGAGCCCTTACAGAGTCCTTTGTAGGTTCTCCATCGGTTGGAGAAAATAACAGAGGCCAACCAGAGAATATTGAGAAGCAAAGCAACTCGTAAGCCTGATCTTTATTGAATTGTTGCAAAAGTGTGCTCCCCTCACACACACAGGAGCAGGAGGAGGACCCAGAACCAAGGTGTGCCAGCCCTCATATAGACACTTTAAATTCCCTGTCCTGGAGCTCAAGACCACCCCTCCATACATCATACATACATCACAGAAGGGGTGTAACCCAAGACACCCCCCCCCAAACATCATACCTACACCACAGAAAAGGTGCTCTACAACAGAAATTTGTTGTTGTTTTTCCTGTCTGCCAGGTTGTCTGATATTGCCTTATCTGATTGCCTTTCCTGGTAGTCTGGCCATTCCTTTGAGATAGTGATTACCCAATTCCTGGGACAATGGGAAGGTTCCCTCACCCCCTCCCTCCTCGCAGAGCCAACATTTGGTCATTTTGGGAGTCAAAATGGTTTCAGGGCGGTCTTCCTGTGCTGCTCCAGACATGTGGTCCACATATCTATGTATGTGCTTGGTTGGTACATTTATGAACATTTTATATATATATATATATATATATATATATATATATATATATATATATATATGACCTTAAATTTTTTATTACAATGCTTTTGCACCCCATGTTTCTGATTTGGCAAGTGCTCAGAGAAGAGGAATCTGCCAAGCAATGAACCCCGGAAAAGCGGATCTACACTCATTTTGAAGGCTTTCATGGTCCAAGAGTAAAATCTCCATTAAATGTGAGTCGTAAGTCAGGCTGCAGAACTACCCCTTTCCTTGACAGCTTCCTGACGTTGCAGAGTATAAAAAGGGATTGACTGCCATGGAAGCACGTTGCTTCTTAGCTGACACTCGTAAAACTTAACTAAATCAAAAGCCTTTCCTTTAAAAAGGCCCAGAGCCTGGTTTTCATTGGACTGTGCACTAAATGGGGGGAGAAATCTCAGAGAAAGCACACTTTGGAAGGTCTGCTTCAGAAAAGAAAAACCATTTCCGAAGCTCTTAAAATGTTCCATTTATACGCAGTTGTCTTTTATCATGCACAGATCTTGTAAGGCTGCACAGATGAAAGAGGGGACTTTTCAAGTCATGATCCTCCTGGAGATCCTATACTTACGCTGTTTGGATATCTAAAGGATAGGAGAACAGAATAAGTCTTAGAGATGACGATTCGTTTGTTAAGGGCAGGTCAAAGAGAATACCCTGCAACATTTCTCAAATGAAAATAGGGATGTCATATTTAATACTAATACTAATACTCAGTGCTTTTTTCTGAGGGGACTCAGGGGTACGCATACCCCTAAACATTTTGTGAATCTTTGTACTTTTGTCCATTTACCGTATTTATTTTTCCCAATTTGAACTATAAAATGGTGAGTCAAAATGAGAGTATCCATACACATTTTTTTAAAGAAAAAAGCACTACTAATACTAATACTAATACTAATACTAATACTAATACTAATACTAATACAAATACTACTATTTATACCCCACCCATCTGACTGGTTTGTCCCAGCCACTCTGGGCAGTTCCCAACATATATAAAAAGATAATATAATGTTTAACATTAAAACATTAAATATTCCCATCCAAGCTGGCCATTATAACAACTTTGTAACGCTTAGGATTTGGTGACTGAATTTGCTTTCTTTCTTCTTCTACCTTCCCCATCCCTTTTTCCTTTTATGATGCATCTTTTTCCATTGTAAGCCTGAGGAAAAGGACTGTGTTGTTTTTGTTGATTTGGAAGGCACTCTGGGAGCTTTCCTCCCTGAAAAGCAGGGTCCAAATGCTTTGAATCAATCAATCAATCAATCAATCAATGGAAAGGGCTATTATAGAACCTCTTCCCCATGAGTTTTCTGCTCCCCTTTTAATCTTCAATAGCTGAGCTAACTGTCAACACCACCTCTTGGGTGTTTTCTTCTTTTTAAACCCAATACCCTGAGAGCAGCATCTTGTACATCAACGCAATAATAGCAGGAGAAACAACAGAAGGATGCAAAGCTTGTGCTCACTAATCAGAACAAATGTTTTCAGGCTTCCGATGTGTGATGCAAGCAAATTAACCACTCTTAAGAGCAAAGTGGTGATTCCACACTCCACCCCCCAAAAACACACACACAAAACACCCTTCTTCAGGTTCTGTTTACAAAGCAAACAAACCCTGGTGAAATGTAACTGCTTGTCAGAGAAAATGTCTATTACTTATTCTTGCCTTCTTGTAATGTGATGCCCACCGTACAACTTGTAAGTTTAATAGGTCCCAGGAGCCGGCCACTTGGTTAGCGCAGGTTAATGTTTCCGGGCACATTTCAAAGTGTTGGTGCTGACCTTTAAAGCCCTATACGGCCTCGGTCCAGTATACCTGAAGGAGCGTCTCCACCCCCATCATTCAGTCTGGAAACTGAGATCCAGCGCCGAGGGCCTTCTGGCGGTTCCCTTGCTGTGAGAAGCCAAGTTACAGAGAACCAGACAAAGGGCCTTCTCAATAGTGGCACCTGCCCTGTGGAATGCCCTCCCATCAGTCCAGGAAATAAACAACTATCTGACTTTTAGAAGACATCTGAAGGCAGCCCTGTTTAGGGAAGTTTTTAATGTTTGGTGTTTTATCATGTTTTTAATATACTGTTGGGAGCCGCCCAGAGTGGCTGGGGAAAACCAGCCAGATGGGCAGGGTATAAATAATAAATTATTGTTATTATTATTATTATTTAGGGGAAAAACATACATGAAAGGCAGAAGGGCCCCTGCCCAACCCCACACCCCCACTTGTCATATGAACACCACTTTGCCTCCGCTTCCACTCTGACTTTGATCCAAAGATTCAGAGGGTTAATAGGAACGAATTTCTTCTACTTCTGGGTATTCCAGATGAAGGGGGAGATGTCACAACCTCCATCAAGCAAGTCTCTGGCCTTCTCCAGAACAGTGCTTTGTCGTGAGTGTTTTCTGTGACATGTTTGTGACACGATGATAGTGGTGGGCTATTTCTGCTGTGATTCTTTCCCAATGGTATTGCATTATTTTCTTTCTTCGGGGGCTACAGCACAACCAAAGCTGTACACACTCACACACTCACACACAACTCAGAACAGTTTGGGTTAATACAGTGGTACCTCGGGTTACATACGCTTCAGGTTACAGACTCCGCTAACCCAGAAATAGTACCTCGGGTTAAGAACTTTGCTTCAGGATGAGAACAGAAATCGTGCTCTGGCGGCGCAGCAGCAGCAGGAGGCCCCATTAGCTAAAGAACAGTTTCAGGTTAAGAACGGACCTCCGGAACGAATTAAGTACTTAACCCAAGGTACCACTGTAATTTGTTTGGCCAAAAGGTAGAGTGGATGCCGCTGGGAATGTTGAGAGAATAGGAGTCACCAAACTGTCATCTTCATGGACATTACAGGCAAGAAGTGCATAAGCCATATACTCTACTCTCCACAGGGAAGTTTTAAATGTTGGATGTTTTATTGCATTTTTTATATTTTGTTGCAAACCACCCAGAGTGACTGGGGAAACCCAGCCAGATGGGTGGGGTATAAATAATAAAAATTATTATTATTATTATTATTATTACTACAGCAAGGAGTATCCATAAAGTGGACATTGAATACAGCAATTCAACCTATTTGGGTATTGGCCCTTCCATGTGTGTGTGTATCCTGGTGAGAGAAAAACCAAAGTCAAGAAGAATCTTGTCTCTTTTCCAAGAGGGTTTACCGTATTTTTCCATCTATAAGACACCCCCTATTTTTGGAGACTCACATTTAAGAAAATGGGGGGAGAAGGCACAGAGTTGTTGAGCTTTTTTTGATCCCAAAATCCACCTCCTATCTGTCCCATCGCCAGCAGAAGCTGCCAGTCGCCCACCCAACTGCTGGAGCTTCAGCCAATCAACATCACCCATTGATGCAGCAACCAATAACACGCACAATAGCCGCTGACAATCGTTGCAGCGGCCAATCAAACGTCCACCCTATGCACTACCCATGTATAACACCCACAATTTTTAGCAGGATTTTTAATGAAAAAACATAGTCTTATACATGGAAAAGTACAGAATGTCACCTGGAACTGGGATGCCACTTAGCAGCCATTTCTGATGAGCTACTGCGGGGTGTTGTTGTTTTTTTAATGTGATCATATTGATGGGAATGTTATTTATATGTAATTTTCTAACGCTTTGTAATCGTTGCAAGCTGCTTTGAGCTCAACTTTGCTGCTAGCAGAGGAGCGGCATGCAAATATGACATTGACTCAAATCAACGTAACAAACTGAGGTTCGGCTTGACATACAAGCCAATGCAAGACATTTGTCGAAAGTGGTCCATTTGAAACTAAGCAGCGCTGAATGCCAATCAAAGCCACTAAACTTGTACAAAGTGCTTCTGTTCTTCCGGAGGCTTTGATGGAGGAAAGAGTTAGGCTTTGATTCTGTTGCTTCTCTCTCGCTCCTGAGTGGCAGGCAGCCCATGTACATTATTTATTAAAAGTTAAGGAGTAAGATGCCTTTACTCCTGACTGGGAAAAGTGGGTTTTCAGGAAAGGTGGGGGGCTTTGGGAGAAATATATATATATCTCAGGAGCAAAGCTACTGGTGCGGAGCTTGAAGATGAAGGACCCTGCTTTTTCTCCTTGCTAACTTTGAATATGGGAGCTTCAAAATCCAGACTGTCATGTATGATCACAAAACCCATCTTATGCACAAAGAAGAGGGGCAGAGAAATAATGCCCCCAAAGATCCCAGAATCTTTGCTCTTAGATTCAATGAGAGCTGGAATTAGAAGAGAAAAGGTGAATTCTATCCTGCTCTAAATTAGTAACTGCTTTTTGAACGGAGTTTGCATCTCATCGTGTCTGCAGCAGCAACAGCAGCAGCAGGCTTCTAAAGCAATCCAGCTATGTCTAAGGGTGCAATTCCTCCTCTTGAATGGGAACATAGTGTGATAAAAAGGTAAAGGGACCCCTGACCATTAGGTCCAGTCGCGGATGACTCTGGGGAAGAGGTGCTCATCTCGCTTTATTGGCTGAGGGAGCCGGCGTACAGCTTCCAGGTCATGTGGCCAGCATGACTAAGCCGCTTCTGGCGAACCAGAGCAGCGCACGTAAACGGCGTTTACCTTCCCGCTGGAGCGGTACCTATTTATCTACTTGCACTTGATGTGCTTTCGAACTGCTAGGTGGGCAGGAGTAGGGACTGAGGAATGGGAGCTCACCCCGTCGCGGGGATTCGAACTGCCGACCTTCTGATCGGCAAGTCCTAGGCTCTGTGGTTTAACCCACAGCGCCACCCGCGTCCCAACATAGTGTGATATATATCACAATATATATCTGTTGTAAACAAAAATCTGCCCTTTTCCCTTATGGGGTATCCAAGAGCCCATATAGAGTCTTTACATAGGTTCCCATAGAAGCCAACTAGAGAATATTGAGAAGTAAAGCAGCTAGTAAGCCTGATCTTTATTGATCTGTTGCAACAGGTCCTCACTCACCACGCGAAGAAGGGAGGAGGAGCCCAGAACAATGGTGTGCAATCCTTTATATAGACTTTTGAAATTGCCACCATGTAGATCAAGACCACCCCCAGAAACATACATACATCACAGAAGGGGTGTAGCTCAAGACCACCACCCCAGATACATCGTACCTACATCACAGAAAGGGCGGTCTACAGGAAATCTGAGTGCTTTGTTGGGCAGGTTACCTGTTAATGGTCGCTTGATTGGATTACCTGGGGAGCCTGGCCAATCTTTTGGAATGATAAATACTTTAGTTCCTGAGCCGGGTCACAGGTTCACCCTGTTCATACACAGACATACCCTTAAGACAGGATTTGTGAGGAAAGAGACAATGGGGAGGCTTCCCACTTTGACCTTGCAGAGAAATCATTTGCTCAGGGGAATCAAAATGGTTTCAGGTTGGTCTTCCTATGCTGATCTATGTATGTGCTTGGTTGGTACACTTATGAACATTTAACATATACTTCAAAATTCCTATCACAATAGCATCCTGCCTTAGGCTCAGGCTTGCCTACAACAGTGATAGGGAACCAGCTGCCCTCCAGATGTGGATGGACTTCAACTCTCAGGAGCCCCAGCCTGCGTAAACAATGGTCAAGGACAAGCATAGGCAAACTCGGCCCTCCAGATGTTTTGGGGCTACAATTCCCATCATCTCTGACCACTGGTCTTGTTTGCTAGGGATCATGGGAGTTGTAGGCCAAAAACATCTGGAGGGCTGAGTTTGCCTATGCCTGGTCAAGGATAATGGAAGCTGTGATCCAATATCTTGTTGTTTAGTCGTTTAGTTGTGTCCAACTCTTTGTGACCCCATGGACCAGAGCACGCCAGGCACTCCTGTCTTCCACTGCCTCCCGCAGCTTGGTCAAACTCATGTTAGTAGCTTCGAGAACACTGTCCAACCATCTTGTCCTCTGTCGTCCCCTTCTCCTTGTGCCCTCAATCTTTCCCAGCATCAGGGTCTTTTCCAGGGAGTCTTCTCTTCTCATGAGGTGGCCAAAGTATTGGAGCCTCAGCTTCAGGATCTGTCCTTCCAGTGAGCACTCAGGGCTGATTTCCTTCAGAATGGATAGGTATGATCTTCTTGCAGTCCATGGGACTCTCAAGAGTCTCCTCCAGCACCATAATTCAAAAGCATCAATTCTTCGGCCATCAGCCTTCTTTATGGTCCAGCTCTCACTTCCATACATCACTACTGGGATCCAATATCTAGAGGACCACAAGTCCCTTACCTGTGTTCTTCATACTAGCTGGCGGTAGTTCTAGAAAGTGACCTATCCTAGCCTTACCTAGAGATGCTGGTCCATGAATATGTGAAATTAGAAGCAGTGAAGGTTGCTCCCTGAGGATGAATGGGGCACTGTCCCACCAAGTGCACTCCCCCCCAGCTAGCCTTCCCCTTCCTGCCTTCCTACTTACGGCCAACCCAAGGGGTGGTGCCACAACCTGCCAGCATCCTCCTCCATAGTCTCAGTGCTGCCTTTGAGAAAGGAGGATGGGGACAAAGAGAGAATGAGGTGTCTTATTTATTTAATTTTATTTCAAAACCAAAAAGAAACAAATACAAGCATCAAATTCAAAATCCATATTCGTTTTCTAACATAAGCCTATTACATAGATTACCTAAATTAAAACATACATGATTACTCTAGGCTTCCCTTTGCTGTATGTAAATACATCGCAGTTAAGAAATGTATATTATAAATAATATTATAGATTCCCACATGCCCCCCACTCCCCTTCACCCATGTGTGATCTCAATATTTTATTTCTTCCATCTTGTTGCGTTGTTATAATTTAATAATTATTCAATTGTTTCTATTGTTATTTTCTTGCTTACCCCTGCACGTTTTACGCATTATCTATTAATATTTCAATTCCGGAACAATATTTTTTCATGTATTCCTTCACTCCATCCCACTCTTTGATTATTCTCTGATTTGAGTGACCGCTAATAATTGCTGTCAATTTTGCCATTTCTACAAATTCACAGAGTTTGTTTTGCCATTCTAATAATGATGGGATTTTCTCCCCCTTCCAGTTCTTTGCGATCATTAGAGAATGAGGTGTCATTGGCTGTGATTCCACCTGCAGTTGGGCTCCCTGCATTCCAGCCTACCAGGCCCACTGGGTAACAGCCAACACTGGTATGAACATAAGAAATAATCTGCTGGATCAGACCACCTCATCCAGTATCCTACTCTCACAGTGTCTGACCTGATGCTCATGGGAAGCCTGTAAGCCGCACCTGAATGAAACAGTGCTCTCCTCACCTGGGATTCCCAGCAACCAGCATTCAGATGTATACTACCTCAGACAGTGGTTATTGTGGTTGGTAGCCCTTGGTAGCCTTACCTTCACAAATTACCGTATTTTTCGCTCTATAAGATGCACTTTCCCCCTTCTAAAAAGTAAGCGGAAATGTGTGTGCGTCTTATGGAGCAAATGCAGGCTGTGCAGCTATCGCTGAAGCCAGAAGAGCAAGAGGGATCGGTGCGCAGCGATCCCTCTTGCTCTTCTGTCTTCAGAGATAGCCACACAAAGCCTCTTGAGCGCAGCGGGAGCGCTCCTCCCTCTGCGCTCAAGAGGCTATGCATTGCTTTCTTGTTTCTTGTTTTCCTCCTCTAAAAACTAGGTGCGTCTTATGGTTGGGTGTGTCTTACAGGGCGAAAAATACGGTAATCTTTTACATGCTAAACATGTGCCGCACCTCTGAGCAACTGTTCTTCCCTTGGCTTGTTATGGCCAAGCTTTGTTATGGATGGGATACATCCAGGCACACACACAATCCAGCTACTTTGCTACAGTGGTACCTCAGGTTACATATGCTTCAGGTTACATACGCTTCAGGTTACATACTCCGCTAACCCAGAAATAGTGCTTCAGGTTAAGAACTTTGCTTCAGGTTGAGAACAGAAATCGTGCTCCGGCGGTGCGGCAGCAGCAGGAGGCCCCATTAGCTAAAGCAGTGCTTCAGGTTAAGAACAGTTTCAGGTTAAGTACGGACCTCCGGAACGAATTAAGTACTTAACCTGAGGTACCACTGTATTCTCTTGCATTTCTCAAGCCCTCTGTGCAAAGCTTGCATTTGATTTCTTGCTCTGCCCACTTTTGCCTCAGTCCCTGCCCACCATGGGTGTGTGGCCCCTGAAAGGTTGTCCAGCAGGGTAGGTGGACCTCGGAATGAAAAAGGTTCCCCACCGCAGCTCTGATGCTTGCTCCCCTTCTCTTTCCCTCTGCAGCCAGTATCTGAGAGCAGCTTCTTGTCCATCTGAAGAGAGGCTTCGTTGAGAATTAAAAACTCTCCGGAGCGGATCCTCAGTTAGCTTTGATTTTTGAGCCCCTCGTGTGATGAGCCTCGGGGAGCAGCCGTGTGGGTGGAGCGGAGCTTGCAAGGCTTGAACCAAAACAAGCTAACTCCCCATGGCCTTCTGGGAAGAAACCGTGTGGTCTCATGCCAGGGTTCCCATTGTGATTCCAAATCGGGTGTGGGTGTGTCTGTTTCCCGTCCTTGGCCCTTATTTGGCAAAATATATAAACAGCAGGGTTGTCCCAACAAAGTTGAAAGGATGTTCACATGCAGGCAGGAGATGTAAATTGTCTGCGGATTATGAAGGGGGGGCAGGGAAGCACTCAGACCTTAATTCTAGAAAAAAAACCCATTGTGTGTACATATCTGTGTATGCAGCCTAAATCTTATCATCCCACACTTCACGGGCCTTGAAGATGTTACACACATCCTCCCACCCTCCAGAGTTTAAAAGCTTTGCGTCTATTTGTTTTTTAAAGTGTCTTTTCACTTAAAAGAGCTTGACACTTCATGCAGGATTTGCAGCAACTCATCCGAAATAATCTCTGCGGGGTTCTCTGCCTGGATGTGCAATATTTGACGTGGTCTTTCTTTCCTTCTATGGCAGTAACCTGCACGGTGGTCAAATGGCTCTATCCTGCATTGCTCGTTTCATTTTGCTTTTTTTATATAAAAAAACCAAGAGCAATTAGAACAGCGGCCATATTATTCCAAAGAGGCAGAACATCAAATAAGCCAGTGCCACACCCTTCAGAGAAGAGGAAACTTTGCCCTTAACAAGGGAGGCAGTGACAGCTGCTCAATGTTCCAAGTTAAGTTGGGCCCAGCCTTTGATCTCAGCAGGGGGCAGCGGGACTTGTGCTAACCACATATGCAATCCTTACTTAAAAGGGTCAAGCAGGTATTTTTAGTTCTAGTTTGAAGATGGAGGGAGAGCCTGCCTCTCTCTCTCTCTCTCTCTCTCTCTCTCTCTCTCTCTCTCTCTCGGATTAAAAAAAGGAAAAGCAGTTAGTGAAGCCATTGCTAAGGTGGAATGCCAGAGATAAGAAAGGAAGAGGCTCTGGGTTATTTGCCAATTGGTGTCCTTCCCCCCTTCCCTAGCAGTGTGTAGGAGCCATGCTCAATTTACAGGGGATGCACAGGAGCAACCCCCTGGCCCCCTTACATTTTATGCTAGCTAACACTTTTCAGAAGGCTCTCAGTATGTGTCTGGTTTGGCTAAAGCTGGAGGGAGAGTGAGGCTTGCAGAGTTCCACTGAGAGCGCCCACCCTCTTCCCTTGTCATTTGAGCACTATGTAGAAGCCGTGTCTGTGTGTCTGTGTGTACAATGCTAGGCCAATTGGGCAGAGCACCATAGAGAATGCCTCCCCATCTTTGTTGTGATCTTGGGAAGGCAGTATTGTGCAGCGGTTAGAGTGCGAAGGCCTGAAGTTCACCTGATAACCTTCTAGTGCAGAGCTTTCCAAACCGTGTGTCGTGACACATTAGTGTGTTGGCTGCAGTGTGTAGGTGTGTTGTGCGAATGCTCCCCCATGTTCTTCCCGGGGCTGGAAAGGGGTTAGTTTAAACCTCTGGTTTGCTAGTGAAACTGAATTACTGTGCTGCGAAACAATGCATGTCTAAAAAGTGTGTCACCATTGTGAAAAGTTTGGAAAGCTCTGTTCTAGGGTCACTCTAAACCTAACTTACCTTACGGCATTGTTTTAGAGATAGGGTCCAGGGATGGGGAGGGGCATGTATTCTGCTTTGAACTCCCTGGAGGCAAGATGGGATGGAAACATAAAAAATAATAAGGATACAGTTGCACAGCAAAGAGTGGTGTTTTCTAGCAGGAGCTGTGTTCAACTCTAGCCTTATCCCTATGCACATACTTTCTCAAACAATGGCTGCATGGCTGAAGAGGCAAGCAGTTTTTCAGGTTGCATACTGGGGAGGAAGGGATTGCCTCATCAGCCTGGAAACTTCACAGACCCCTCCAGTGGTTTGTTTTCCCCTCTGTCATTTCCATTGCTTCATCAGGGACTACCACTGTCCACTGCTTGAGGTAGTCCTGGGAGCACCGCTTCAGAAGCCCTGCTCTGTTTTATTGATCCTACAACATTGCCAGTCAGCAAGTATTTTGATGCTCCCGCACGGTCAAATTGTCAGTATGGGGAGATGAAAAGCCCATAAAATCACAGTTCTTCCATACCCTGCTCACAATCAACTGTTTTCCACTATCCCAAGGATGAGGAAGCTGCTGAACCGTTAGCCATGTTGCCTGGGAACAGTGGGCATGGTACTCTGTTGACATCTAGAGAGCACCAGGTTGAGGAGAGCTGGTTTTCTCCTGTTGCTGTATCTGTTTCTCCCTCATACCAGGCACTGTCCCAGGCTACCTGCCAGCCTGGCCTTTGTACAACCAGGTCAGGGAATGGCACTGGCTGGCAGCTTCCTCCTCTTTAGACTCAGTGTTGCCCTTGTAGGACTCAGCCAAGACGAGGATGGGGACAAACCTAGAATTAATTGGCCCTCTCTGGTATAGCTCCAACTACACCTGCATCCCTCTCTATCAGTTCCAGTGGGCACCAGCAGGGTGGTCTTTACTTGGGGGTGCAAGAGGTCCAAGGCACCCAGGCACAGAATTCTGGGGAGTGCCAGGCACCCGCCACTAAAGGCACCTAAGCTCTTAACTATCTCTACCTGTGATTAAATAATAAATAATTTTGATTAATCTGACATTCAAAGCCGGCTGCCACTGCCGCCTCCACCCTGGCCGCTTTCTCCTCCCCAGAGTCCTGCCCTGCATGAAGAGGCGTTGCTCTTCTCCTCCCTCCTCCTGGGGAGCTTTTAAAAGTACCTGGATGTGAAGCTGCACGGCCTTTGCAGAGCTCGGGTGCCCAGTCCTTGAGGGGCGACAGCAGCGAGACTCGGAAGAGCAGGACACCGCCTCCGCCGCCGCCATGACCTTGCCTGCAACCATGGAGAAGTATAAAGGTAAAGGGACCCCTGACCATTAGGTCCAGTCGTGGCCGACTCTGGGGTTGTGGCGCTCATCTTGCTTTATTGGCCGAGGGAGCCGGCGTACAGCTTCCGGGTCATGTGGCCAGCATGACTAAGCCGCTTCTGGCGAACCAGAGCAGCGAATGGAAATGCTGTTTACCTTTCTGCTGGAGCGGTACCTATTTATCTACTTGCACTTTGACGTGCAAGGCTGGCAGGAGCAGGTACCGAGCAACTGGAGCTCATCCCATCGCGGGGATTCAAACCGCCAACCTTCTGATCGGCAAGTCCTAGGCTCTGTGGTTTAACCCACAGCGCCACCCGCTTCCCTATGGAGAAGTATATCTTAGTTGTAAACATGAGCAGCAGTAAATTTGGGGGCGCTGGGTGGGTCTTTGCACTCCGGCGGTGCATATGCTAAAGATGGCCCTGGGCACCAGTCACCACTGGATGGGGAACCCTGTGGTCCTCCAGATGTTGTTGGACTTCAACTCCCATCATCCCTGACCAGAGGCAGGGGTGGTTTGAGTTCAGCACAATGGGTACAGTCTCAGCCGTGCTGCAGGGAACACCAAAACAAAACTGTAGAATGGAGTGCAAGAGGTGCCCCGCCCTCCATTTTAGTATCACATAGGGCACGGCTGAATTTTGAGAACCCAAAGTCCACCACTGGTCACACTGGCTGGGGCTGATGGGAGTTGTTACCAGGTTCCCGCATCCTCACTCTGCAAGCTCTGGTTCTAGATCAGGCTTCCTCAACCTCAGCCCTCCAGATGTTTTGGCCTACAACTCCCATGATCCCTAGCAGGACCAGTGGTCAGGGATGATGGGAATTGTAGTCCCATAACAGCTGGAGGGCCGAGGTTGAGGAAGCCTGTTCTAGATTCGTGCCCCACTGGGAGCGATCAGTTCTTTTGTAACCAAAAGCTGGCATTCTTAACGCGTCTTCTTTCCAGACAGACCTCTTGGGAGGAAGGAAGCGTGATCCCCACGGAACTGCTGCTAACTGCTGCAAGTGGGCAACATTTAGGCCCTGTGACGCTCTGAGCAAAGGAAGAAGAAGAAACAGATAGGGTTGGGGGTTAAGAAGAAGAAGAGAGTAAATGAAATAACTCTCACAGGGGAAATACCCTTTTCAAAGCAAAAACCTTCAAGGAAGTGCTGATTTGCATTACAGAAGCGCTCTGTCATTTTATTTCCTGCCACAGACAAATTTATCACTTTTTTTTGGAGTGTCGACTATCAATGACAGCAGAAATTACACGTCCTTTCATAGCCCAAGTCTTTTGATAATTACTCTTTTAACTGCCTCTTGCTTACAGATTTTATCTCATTCCGAGTAGAGGGGTAACAATCTGACACAGTTTGGAAGAATATTAAATTCACCCCTCCACCACCACCACCCGTCAACTGGAAAGTGCTTGACCGGATAATGTCGCTGCCCCAAAAGAGGCAATCTGCCAAAAGAGAATTAAAATCTGAAACAATGAAAGGTTTCAAATAGGGAAATGTGATGACAGAGATGAGAGGAAGGTTTCATTTGGACAGGGTATGATTTCCCTGTGATGGTTGCTTTATTCTTCCCCTCCCCCCTTGTTTATTCTTAATGCATTATCACATCCTCGGGGGCCAAAACACTGCCAGTCTTCCCAAAGAGGAGTGCGGGAAATAGGAACATTCAGAAAGGATTTCCATGGATGGCTACCAATGTTACTCCTGCTCAGAGTAGCCCCCTTAAAATTAATGGGCATGTCTAATTTAAAGCTAGTGTTTTCAATGGGTCTGTGGAGTAGAACTTAGCTGGATGCTAACCCTAAAGGCTGGACAATAAAAACAGCTGACAATAGAGGGAAACCTAAAAAAAATAAGTAAAATCCATCTAGCTGGGAAAGGTTGTCAGAGAGAGAGAGAGAGAGAGAGAGAGAGAGAGAGAGAGAGAGAAAGAAAGAAAGAAAGAAAGTCTTCAATTGTTTCAGGAAAATACAGATAGCAGATGCCCATTGTATCTCAGCAAGGATGCCTTTCCACATAACAGGGGCAACCACACCTAAGGCCCTGTTCCAAGTTGCAGTGAAAGCACTTCTGATATTTTAGAGACTTTAAGGAGATACTCTTCTGCAGGACACAGCAACCTTTTGAGTGTGGGATAACCAGCCTCATGCAACCAACATGCTTAAGTCTCATTAACATGAAGGGATTAATACCATAGAGTAATCTGTCCTGCCAGGCTTAGCTGTGTCCCCTTCCGCTCACCTTGAGAGGGACTAGGTAATCAGATCTCTGTTCCCTCAGTTAACCCAAGAAGCTCAGCATGTGAAGAGGATTGATCTGGTTGCTCCAGCTCAGACCGCATAGCTCCCACAAACATCCCTTGAGTTCCTATACCAATAATTTAGAAACTTTCAGTGTTTTGGAACTAAGCCAAGTTTTACTGCCTGTGCCACTTTTCTGACTGGTGTATGGAAACGCACATGAACCAGACCTTTGAAGAGTTTGTAAGTGAACCAATGGAAGAGGGACATTTTGGAACTCACAAGGGCATATTTTAAAGATTTAACAGCCTATATTTCAGTGCTTTGATTTGCTGAATATTTTGTGATTTTAAATCTCTGCTGGGGTTCCTGCCTCAAACTTGGATCTTGGCATCTAGGAATTATCATCAAATTTTATATATATATAAAACCAGCATGGGGTATATAAGAGTTGAAGCAGAACCAATAGGGCTGCAGCTTACATACACACTGACTGCACCAGTTTAATGGGAAGAGTCTCTTGGGCTCATCTTCTTTATGTTCTTCATGGCCTGCTTTTGCCTTTGTGTTAACATGACAAGCCAAGCCTATAAATATATGTTTGTTTGCACATGGCATTTCAGCAGGCAACCATAAAATGCAAAATGGCACTTCATTGCTTTTTTGTGTTTTGTTTTTGCTCCTTCCAAAGCCTTTCTTCTCATGATTTCCTCTGGGCACTCAAGACAAATGGCAGTTAGGGAAGAAACTGGAAGGTGTTGAAAACTGCTCCTGTTCTGTTATCTCAAGTTCTCCTGCATGGTCTGCTATCTGTATACAACTGGATCTGGTGGCAACAGTTGTTGAGAAGTTTGCTTTTTCAGCCAGGGATGTGAATATATCTCTGGAGCAAGTTTTCTTTGATCTGGGAGAGGACAGTGATCTGCCCATCTGCCCCACATCATCCCAATAACAGATCTCTCATACTTCAGACTTAAAACTGAAAAGTGAGGGGAAAAATTGAGAAGCTCAAGAAGTGGAATATACGAATTAAGAAAAACTGGAGTTTCACAGTGGTGCCAACCACTGTGTCCCTGAAAAAAGGGTGGCTTTTATGAATGTGTGACTGAGAAAGAGAGATGGAAAACTTTTCGTAGAAGAGAATATGCTGACAGACTTGTAGTTTTGATCTGGAGCACCCCCCACCCCACCAAAAAAAATTCTCAAGGCTAGATGGGAGCTAAAGGATTCCTAGAGAATAAGGATTTGGCTGCTATCTTGCAGGCAAACACCCTTGAATTTACCCTAAAATGTGGGATCCCGTGCAATTTGAGAAGGGAATTTGGTGTCATGCCAGAAAGAAAGTGTTTACAGAAAACAAGCATATATCATATAACAAAAATACAGAGCTGCAGCTCAGTTGGTTTACCCCCAAAGATGTTGCAACATTCTGAGTTCCCATTGGTGTGGAAATCTCTAATGTCTTAGATGATGCGCAACAGGTTTCTCAGTTGGTCAGGGTTGGAGAACTCAAGGCTGGGGGAGTTTGTCTCCCAAGCCTCTCTGTCTGGGTCTCTCTTACCAGATCACACCCTTCCCTAAGCCGCACACCCCTCTCCCAAGACCACATCTCTAGCCAGACCTGTTTGCATCCTCCTTGAGTGTTCTCACAATGAATCTTACTCACCTGGATGCAGGATAGAAGAGAGAGAAAGAGAGAGGGAGGAGGAGGAGGAGGAGGAGGAGGAGGAGGAGATTTGCATTTGCCCACAATCTGTCTGTCTGTCTGTCTCTGTCTGTCTTATCTATCTTCCGTCTAAAATCTGCAGTTTGGACCAAAAAGCAACTGCTAACCATTTCCAGTCCTGGGAACCACAGCCTGTAAGACATATCAGTAATTTCTGTAGAGATGCCAATAGATCCAACCATGTTAGCAAAGGCAGAGGTGTTCTGGATGTGTTCTCTGGACACATTGATACCACATGGCCTCAGCCTGTACCACTTTGCATCAGCCCATGAAGCCCTTCTGAGCACTCCATCCTCAAAGCTCTGTAAGAGCCACCCTGGAACCAGCAGCATTTTTAACAGAGCAACTGATGAAGCCAGAAGCCAGTGTGTTTTGCTACACAAATAATAAAACTTCCGCTTTGCTAGTCACAGTAGCATGTGTATCATTTTAGTGATTAGCCAGGTCCTAAAAGGGATTCAGTGTTTTCACTGGACTACAGAGATGGGGCGTTCTGGAAACTCAGCCAAGTTTCACAATGCAATCAAACTAACTCATTGCTTGCAGTGTTGTCTTTTTGAGGCTGCAGTCTGATGTGCAAACTTGTTGTGTTTTGTGTGCATGCTAGAAGGAAGACTCTGCCAACCAAAAGTGTATCTTGCGGTTCGTGGCTTTATGAATAATTTTGTATGAAGCTTGTAGGATTAAGAACTTTGGCCAGCTCTGTGATAACATATCCAGATTCAACCGGTAGGCTCTGCCAACTTTGACTGCCCTGAGGACGATTTGTCGAAAAGACAGCATAGACTTACATCACTATTATAATTGTCTAGGACAGCATGAGAGGCTCATAGACTGGTGCCCCAGCTGAGTACTATCTGCATTTAGCAAATAAAGCTGGCTTGCCGGATCCTCTCAGCTTCTCATGACAATGCAAGACTTAGTGAAGGGATTTAGGACTCCAACCTCAGCCAGAGTCTTCATCATCCAGGCTCATTGGCATATATGAGGAACACAGCTCTTTGTAGACTGGGAGTTCCCCAACCTGGTGCCCTCCAGATGTTTTGGGCCACTGCTCCCATTGGCTATGTTCACTGGGGCTGATTTTCACTTATCTATTTTATTTACTGTATGTACATCCCACCTTTTCCTCCAACAAGTTCATGGTGGTATTGTTGTAAACAAAAAATCTGCCCTTTTCCCCATACGGGTATCCAAGAGCCCATATAGAGTACTTACGTAGGTTCCCTATTGGTAGGAGAAAATAACAGAGGCCAACTAGAGAATATTGAGAAGCAAAGCAGCTAGTAAGCCTGATCTTTATTGATCTGTTGTAACACGGTCCTCACTCACCACACGAAGGAGGGAGGAGGAAACCTGAACAATGGTGTGCAAGCCCTTATATAGACTTTTGAAATTGCCACCCTGTAGATTAAGACCACCCCCAGAAGGGGGTGTAGCTCAAGACACCCCCCCCCCGATACATCATACCTACATCACAGAAAGGGCGGTCTATAGCAGAAATCTGAGTGCTTTGTTTACCTCCTGTCTGACAGGTTACTTGTTTAATGGTCACTTGATTGGATTGCCTGGGGAGCCTGGCCAGTCTTTTGTAATGATAAATACTTAGTTCCTGAGCCAGGTCAGGTTCACACCCTATTCATATCTTAAATGTGCCCTTAAGACAGGATTTGTGAAGGAAAAGACAATGGGGAGGCTTTTCCATTTTCCATTTTCCTTTGACCTTGCAGAGAAAACATTTGGTCAGTTTGGGAATCAAAATGGTTTCAGGTCAGTCTTCCTGTGCTGATCTATGTATGTGCTTGGTTGGTACACTTATGAACATTTAACATATATCTAAGACCTCAAAATTCCTATCACAGTATACATGAGGTATCCTTCTCATTTAATCTCCACAACAACCTCTGAGGTAGGTTAGGCTGAGAGGCAGTGACTGGCTTAAGGTTACCCAAATAGGGATTTGAAGCCTGGTCCCTCCCAGGTCCTAGTCCAGTACTCTAAGCATGACACCACACTAGATGGTGGGAGATGGAGCCAAGAATATCTGCAAGGGGACCAGGGTGGTGAAGGCTGCTCTGGAGAACAGACAACTGCAAGAAATCTGACTGGCCTGCAGTGATGTTTCCAGGCTGCTCCAGATTGAAATGGTGCCTCACTGTTCACAAGGGTGGTTAGCTTGTTCACAAGTCTTGCTTGAGAAACAAGGTTTCCCTGAGCTCTGGTGGGCATTCCTGCTTGCTGCCTTCCTGGTTGCCTTTCAATTCTGATCTGCACATTGATTCTGCTAACTGATATGTCTCACAGCTTTTGACTAACTAAAGCACAGTTCTAGCTTCATGAGCATTAAAACTGAACCTTGTTTTCCTTGGATCAGATTCAGATTATTATATATGAGACATCCAGTATCAATCCAAAAGGCATGCTGAAAGATTTACACTTGCAATTGCCCTCTCCCCCTATCTTCCACCTGCCTCTCTTCTCTTTCCCCCCATCCCTTAAGAACAGACAAGACCCCCAGTTTTTGTTCCCAAGCTTCAAATGATTCTGGGTGCAAACCATTGGAAAACAAAACAAAGTCTCATTTGTGGTTTGTTCAGGAAGAAGGCAGGACAGGACTCGAATGAAAACCATCTCACAGATGCATTTCCCTTCATTTTCACCCCTCTGGGCTACCCCGCTTGCTAAAAGAAAATTAATCTTTTCAACGTGTGCCATCATGAATGGGCTGCGGTTAATTGTGTCAGCGGCAGCTCGGCATTCTCAGCTACGAATGGGGCCTTCGAGGCTGGATTTTGCACCTGGTGAAATTGCTACTCAGATGCCAAGATGATAAACGCCTTTGCAGCGGATGGGAGGTTTCTCCACTGGCATAGACATATTGCTAGGGGTGAAGAGTGGGAGGCAGATTCAGGACCATAGAATTGAGTGGCCCAAGCACTTGTGGAGCCCTGCTGGCACTGCTGGCTCAAAGTAATGAGCACGGCTGTGCTCAGGACCAGGTCTGATATGAGATCCTATTAATCTACTATAAAGGAGGAAGCATGAAATGCCAGCTATTGGCCCTTGTGTACACAGAGCAGTGGTCCTCAAACTTGGAGAAGAAGGTGTAAAGTTTCAGTTAGGAAAAGATCTGCAAAGGAATAGTTTCTCCTTGACCAGTCAAAGCACTACAAGTTGGGATAGTACAGTTGGGCTCAGGTCCTCTTTTTGGGCATCCCATAGGCATCAGGTTGGCCACTATGAGAACAGGATGCTGGGCAAGATGGGCCTTCTTATGTTCTTACATCTCTGATACCCTAGGCTTCCAAGTCCAACAATGGATGCCCAGGTCCATTAGAAAGGTTGAACCATCCTGAAGAAGGAAGATCTTCATTTATGGGCAAATTGACCATGGAAGAAGATATTCCCTCAAGTATCTGTGACTAGCTGTCATTCTTGCATTGTAGGGGATTAGACTAGATCCCTTCCATCCCTTGGGGTCCCTTCCATTTCTACAATTCAGTGATTCAGTGATTCTCTAGATCTGTGTTTGGAGCTGTGCAACTCATCACTTAATGTTTCAGTCACCCGGTAATGGGTGCTGCATGTCTGAACCACCTTGTCATGAGGAAAGGGGAGCAACTGAAGGTTATGTAGTATTGAGTGTTAGGGCTGGGATGCGGGCCACACTGAGGTCAGCCAGAAACCAGAAGCTGTGGGTAGGGGAACCAGAGCTCAGGGCCAAAGAATAGGGCCAACCATGAGGCAAGGCCAAATATCAGCCAAGGATACAGACTCACAATAGAATTGAGGAAGATATTGTTGCTTGAACAGAGCTCAACTGTAACAGGAAGCCGTCTAAGTGTGATGGCCTGGGATTCGGACTTGGATGCTGAACCTGAGGAATCCCAGCCTACACAGGATTCCCTGCCTCCAGAGCTAGCTGAGCCGGGGCTGGGGCATGAACCTGAAGGGTCTTCACCTGTGCTGGCTCCTCAGGTGCAGGCTCCAGCTGAGTCTGCTCTGGCTCCTGAGGTGAGGGAGGGCCCATTGCCTGCAGGTGCTCCACTCTCAGCCCCATCAGAGGAAGCTGAGATTGCCTCTGGGTCCAGTAACCCTCCAGCCTCTCCTGGGCTGCAGAGGTTCAGGGCATACAGGCAGAGGGAACTAAGTTCCCGCAGGAGGAGTGCTCGCCTCCAGGCCAGGAGAGGCGAGTCACCTGAGGATTGGGGCCCCCCTATGCTTCGGGGCAGATAAAAGCCAGTCAGCCCCAGTCCCAGGTTGTGGGAGCAACTTTGTAGGTTGCCAGTTCCTGCCTGAACCCTGTCCTGCGTTCCTGACCTCACCTGACTCCCTGCCCTGCACCCAGGTTCAACTTTTACGGACTGCCTCCATATTGCACCTTCGACCTCAGACTGGACCCGGACCTCGCCTCTCGGTTTACCTACGGGACCAGCACACTTAGACTCCTTCCTGACCAACAGCTGCCCTGGGTGGTTGGAGGTGGTCTAGGGCCTGAAGGTCCTTCACTGAGAAGCTGTGACCTGCAATTCAGTGGCTCAGTACATGGAGCAGCTGCACGCCAGACCCAGCATCCGCCAGCTCCTGCCATCCTGGCAGTTCAGTTCTCCTCCATCACCTCCAATTGGGTGCTGCAAATGAAAGGCTGTCATTCCTGTGAGGAGATGCATCTTTCACCCTCTGTACAAATTACAGAACACATATTTCATGATACAGAAAGCTGACCGCCCTCAACAGCAGTCCGCTGCAGCCACCTGAGCTGCCACAGTGCTCTGCCCACCTGCACAACCTGTCATCCGTGCCTCATTCTCATATACCCGGCATCGGAAGGAAGGGAGAAGGTGGATGTTGAAAGGTGGGAAAATAGCTGCCACCTGCACGTTTGCGTCTGGGGTTGTGTGGAGAAACAATACCACTGTGTGGCTTTCTGCCCTACCCAGGTCCATGTCTGTCATAAAACGACATGATTTGCAAGTTATAAACCCAGATTACAAAAAGCCTGGCCAGAAAAACTGAGATGCGGGGAGGGAGGGAGAGAGAGAGAGAGAGAGAGAGAGAGAGAGAGAGGATAGTGTTTCATGCCATCCACTTCCTAGAATGATAGAGCATTCCAGAAACTTATTATCACAGTAGCAGTTCTCTCATAAGGAGAGATTATGGCAGACTTACAGTGCTGCTGTAAAAATAATAACTGACTGGGGAAAAAGCAAATGCAGATGTTCAGCAGAGAAGCACCCAGAGAAGCATCTGTCCCCGCAAAAGCAAGGGTGGCAGGGGCCCCCTGTGAGTGGATAGGGAAGAAGTCAGGGAGCCCAACATGAGGTGGAGCCAGAACCAATGACAGGCAGAGCCAATTAATTCTAGTC